TCTATCTATCTATCTATCTATCTATCTATATATCTATCTATCTATCTATCTATCTATCTATCTCTCCTCATTCTCCCTTTATCTGTATACTGTATGTGATGTTAAATAATAATATTATGTTACATATGTAACATAGATAGAGAGACAGATAGATAGATAGATAGATAACCACTTTCTCCCTTCTATTGTTTCAGACTACGCCCTGAAGATCTTCCACGACGCTCTGACCACTAAGGTCCACCACTGCTACCTGGCGCCGGACACCAGACTGCCCATGATGTACATCGATGACCTACTTTCGGCCACCGCCGACTTCTTAGAGGTGAGAAGTCTACGTAATCTATCAGCCGTTTTCTCCTGTGTCCTGTTTATTTATTTTCTTGACTTGACGATTTACCACGGCAACATGTGCAACAACAACAACAACAAAAATGTACCGCTGCAAAAGCATCAGAGATAGATTACGATTTATTTTACGCATGCAAAGTCCGTCATATACTTTTACCTCAAAGGCATTTCTTTTTTCACCTTTTCAAAAGGGGACATTTGCTCATGTTTTTTAATTCAAAATACAGTTTCTAGACAAATCAAAGTGCTCATAATTAGTTAACACACCTATATATATAGCCTGTCACGTCATCCACAAATCATGAGTCCACGTCATAAAATATAACACCTACCTGCCATCCTTCCCCCACCACCTTTTTTCCACCCCTTCTTTAGGCCCCAGAAGATCAGCTCAAGATGAGAACCTACAACATCGGTGCCGTGGACTTCACACCGGAGGAGTTGGCTCAGGAGATCCGCAAGTTTGTGCCGGACTTTGAGATCATCTATAACCCAGACCACCGGCAGGCCATTGGTGAGTTCTATTTGCTGCAACTACATTCTCACAAGAAGGAAATAGGTTGGGAAGGGGGGTGGTGTATGATGTTGACTATGGGCTAGCGACAGGAGTTAAGTTATGCCGCTCTCAAAAGAAGGGAGGGAAGGGAGGGGTGTCGTTGTATGACGTTGACTAAGGGGGTGAATAATACCACTCTCTCAAGCGGGAAAAGTGCCATTTGGGAGGGGGGGGTCTTGTATGGCGATGACTGTACGCTAACTATAGGTGAGTTATACCACTCACTCAAACTGGGAGGCGGGGTAAGGGGATGAGTGTTGGAAAGCATAATTTATGAATCATGTTCAATTTTGATAGCTCTTCTGGTATGAGTTGATACCCATCAGGTGAGTATTGATTCTCTTTAAAGTATTCTTTCTGATCAGTTCTAATAGCACAAGGAAGATAATCCAGTAAACGCAGACGTACTTATATGTGATTTGATTAAATTCCCTTGATTTGATATAAGACACCCGTCTGCAATCCGCCTCCCTACAAAAAAAGCAAGTGAACACTTTCACGACAATCAGCCATCAGCGTCTGAAACGAGTCTTGCAAACTGTATTCACAAACCTTGTATTCCTTGGATGTCAAAAAGTGTGAGTACCTTTGACAATAATAATGTTAATACTACCTGTAGTTCCACTGAAGGCAAACGTCAAGTTTATCAACGTGTGTGGTGTCTCTCTCTTTTGCAGCTGACTCCTGGCCTCAGAAGTTCGACTTCTCAAACGCCAGCAATGACTGGGGCTACCGCCCGCTCTACGACATGCGCGGAATGTGCGAGGTGATGATGGAGGCCCTGATGCAGGTCTACAAGCCCAAACACAAGGTGGCAGAGCTCAAAGAGTGAGGGCGGAGCTTAGCAAAGCTAGACGGAGCTTGGCAGAGCTGGGCGGAGCTGGGCAGAGCTGGGTGGAGCTTGGCAGAGCTTGGTGACTCAGTTTAGTGACACTTTTCCCTCGTTAGCCCGCTCGTGTCACCAGCAATGAACCTTCGGCGAATGTTTCTGGACGTGCCGTGAATTATTTATGATCACAATGCTTTTCACTGCGCAGTACCAGACTGGAGTCTTTCGATTGAAATATTGATTGGTCTAGTGAAATGTTCATCAGATACAGCGTAAACATGTACGCCAATCTGTGATAAGTGAACTGCACATCCTTGTTGTGAGAACTAATTATACGGCGGTTACTTTGGTTTCTTCATGCTGTTTGAACACAATATTATTTTATTGTTACGCTACGCTTTTCACTGAAGCACTGATGTATTAAAGATCTGTACATTTGATTTTCTCGCTTGGGAAAAATTGTACAATAAGTACACCATGACATAAGGAAACGCATTGTGTATCACAATGTCTTTGTGTATTCATACAGAGTTCACGTATTGAGTTCGTGAATCTGTGATGACTAGTGACGATGAACAGGTTATTGAACACTCGGGCTAGGCACTTAACCTGTTTTTATTTCATCTTGAATGTGTTTCAACACATTTTATATTTACAAGGAGTTGGCCGTTGTGGAGCTACACACTGTCTTTGGTATTGCCAACTGGCATGTGTATGATATAAATGTTTTAATCTGTCTCACACTCATGTTTTGACCTCTACATCTCGGTGAAGAGAAAGAGAAAGAGGGAGAGAGAGAGAGAGAGAGAGAGAGAGAGAGAGAGAGAGAGAGAGAGAGAGAGAGAGAAAGAGAC